GATTTTTTTTGGCTTGAAATAAAATAATATTTAAATAAGAAATTTATTTAAGTAATTTATATTTATTTTTTTAAAAAATCATTATTTTTTACACAAACGTTTTAAGTTATTTATTTAATATTGACATACTTAATTATTCAAAGTTTCTAAAATCAGAAGAGAGAATAGACAATTAAATTATAAAGACAAATATTAATTTTAAATTTTCAAGATAATTACAAATAAAAATGAAGTATTTTAGAAATCTTTATTGGAATATTCTAATTTTGTTAACAATTAACACTAAAGTGTAGGTTTTGAAATAAAAGCAGGTCTCCATATTTTAGCAAATGAAAGAGAGGTCAGTGTAATAACAGTCTATCAAATTCATGCTTTAGTAACTCTATTTTGTTAGATTATATGTTATTATATTTCATTTACTAGTAAAGAAACGTCCTTTTTTATTATATATTATTCTTTTTCACGGTTATATATGAACATTAGTATAGTTTAATTATATTATATTATCGTAATTGTGACTAGGTTGATCCTAATATATAACCATACACAGTTGGACCACTAACTCTTGAAACATGACTTGATTGGTTAAATGACTAATCATTTTCATTATCTTTATTTTTTTATCATATTTGATTCATTTATAATTTTTTTATTTTTAAAATTTATTAATTTATTCAAATGACTCTCACATCATTAGATTCTTTTCATGTTTGTAGAATCTGATCTTAGCAGGAGCGGACTCAACCTCCCTCGGCATGACATGGACCCTAGCCTTATTATTGAACAACAAACACGTTCTAAAGCGTGCCCAAGAGGAGATCGATCATCACGTAGGCAAGCAAAGATGGGTCCAAACTTCAGATATCAAAAACCTAATTTACCTTCAAGCCATTCTCAAAGAAGCCTTAAGATTATACCCACCAGGTCCTCTTTTAATACCCCATGAAGCAACACAAGACTGTTATATCTCTGGCTATTACGTCCCAAAAGGCACCAGAGTTTTTGCCAACGTGTGGAAACTCCATAGAGACCCATCCATTTGGTCACAGCCTGAGAAGTTCATGCCTGAGAGGTTTATTACAGAAAATAATGGAGATGTTGATCATGAAGGTCGCCATTTTCAGTACCTCCCTTTTGGGTCCGGAAGAAGGGCATGTCCTGGTTCTAGTTTTGCCATGCAAGTGAGTTTGCTGAGTCTGGCTCGTTTGCTTCAAGGGTTTGAGTTGAAGGCCGTAGGCGATGAACCAGTGGACATGAAAGAAGGCTCCAGCTTTACTTTGCCTAAGGAGACTCCATTGGAAGTTCTCCTCACTCCACGACTTTTGTCTCATCAATATCACTCATTATTGTCCTCAAATTCTTAACTACGACACCATTTGCATTCAATAACTGTTGTAAACAATAACATATATATACATACATTTTATGGAGTGATTAAAACTACTATTATTAAATATTTTAGGCTAAATTATGCAAAACTCCCTCAAACTTTGAACCACATACAAATAACCCTTTTAATCTTTAAAACTTGATAATAAACCTGCTTTTAGGTTTATGTGAATAATTCCTGTCCATTATATTTATTAATCCTATAGGATTAATATGCATTTGAACTTTAAACTATAAATTTGGGAGTGATTTGAACTTTATAACTTTTAAAAGGTACATTTCAAACCATAAACAATTAAAGTTAGAACAATTTCAATCTCATCATTAAGTTTAAATAAATGTCTGTTAAATTGAGGTTTAATATGTAATTTTCACTGAATAAAAGTAGTAGGAGGAGGGAGAGTGAAATTTGATAAAAATTGCACATAAAGCCCCACTTTTTTTTAGAAAACTAATAGACGTTTGTTAGAATTTAATGGTGTGATGAAATTACTCTAATTTTAATTGTTTTATAGTTTAGATCACCACTGAGCTTGTATATACCACTTTAAACTTTATTTTGTGTGCATTTAAGCCCCCAAACTTTGATTGATATATGGATAACCTCCTAAACTTTAAGTTATATGTAAATAATTAATATATAAAATTAATCAAGTAGAGTTATCTGCATAAATATAAGAGTCGAGGAGGGTTCACTATAAAGTTTTAAAGGTTAAGTAGGTCATGTGTACGTGATCCAAAATTCAGGGGAGTAATGTATAATTTAGTTAATATTTTATGGAGTATATTTTATGCATATAAAATTAAGCAAAATGATTTTTATTTTAATTGGGAACTTTCTTTTACTCTCATTAGAAGCAAAATCTTCTACACTTTAATTTGACGCAGTGAGATTTTATCCAGTTGAATTCTCTCTGACAAATCAAGAAATAGTTTCCAATTAGCGAAATGCTAAGGAGCTAATTAATAAAATATCCACAAATTCATTCTCTCCGTTCCTTTTGTAATGACCCAATTTTTTTTTTAAATTAACATAAATTAATTTTTCTCCTAATAGATATTTTATTTAAATTAATTTTATAGTAAGTAGAGAGTAGTAGTTTAGAGGAACTTATCTAATATTTTTTTTGGTCTAGAGTTTGAATTTTATCAAGAAAAAAGTGTGGTTTTAGTTTGTTTTAGATTATGGAAAAACTTTGTGCCTTTTCTTGTACATTTTTCTTGTGTCATTTCTTATAGTTTTCACAATTATTCTATTATTTTGTTCAGAATTTATATCCCTGATGCGAAAACAGAGCATTCGCGAGTTCGTTTCTTTCCTTCCCTTCACCGACACGAATGTTCTGATTCTGCACCGCCATTGCACTCCTCCACCGTTCTTGGCGTCTCCGCGGGCTATGGTGCTCGTGCTGTCTTGCAACACCAGCTGGAATCTCGTCTTCCTTCCCTGCATGTTGTCACTGATGATCGCTGCTGTGGTGGAGGTTTTGTTGAAGTCACAGTTTTTTTTTTTTTTTTCCATTCTCGCTGCTGCCATCGGAGAGTGTGAGTGGCAGGAAATTCCCTCCTTATTCCTGCTCTGTCTGTGCGTTGCTGTGTGTGCTGCCATGGTTTCATGACTCTTTCCCCTACTTCCGTCGATTTCTTCCTCTTCCCCTTCTTTGTGGATGATTCAGGTTTGAAGCTTCGAACCTTGTTTCTTGTCAATTTCATGTGTGTACCCGTTTAAGTGGCTGAGATTTTAAAATTTTCCCCTATTATTTGTTCTGCTGCCGTGTGTGTCTCAGTTGGGAGGATATGATTTAATATGAGGATAGTCTAGGTTGAGTTCTTCTTGGGTTTAATTGACTCTTGCTGGAAAATTTGATTAAAAAAGATATATAAACAATAAAATAACAAACCCAAAAGTTATATTGTAGATTGTTGAGATGGGATTTAAAGCCAAAAGCTTAGAATTAAAATTTGAAAATTAATACCTATAATGTGTTTGATTAAATGTGTATTAGAAGGAGCTTCGTAGGTTATGTATTTCCTATAATCTCGTTTATCTCTTAAGAAATGTTATTTTGTAAATTTGAGCTTGGTGCTGTGAAGAAATTGGGTTATGAAGCTAGTATATAATTAATTTAGTTCTTGGGAGTTATATGGTGGGTGATTATAAACTATGGTGCTGTTTATAGCATAATTTAGAAGGTGCACCTATGCTGTTCGATAAAATGGGTTGTAGAAAAATTTTAAATTTTTATGGTGATTAAATGGGGTGTATGTAAGTAGTCACACTCTTAGTTATAGTTAATTGTTGGTGATGGAAAAAAAATTTGGGATGACAAGTTAAGATTTAATCTCAGCGTTGGATGTAGGACTTGAATTGGAAAAGCATGATGAATCTAATTGCGAGTGTTTAGGAATTGTTGGGTAAGTGATTCAAAGGTTAAAAAGTTTTATTGAGTTGGTTGAAAATTACGCAGATGAACTGCTGGATATAAAGATCTAAATGGAAATCATATTTAAAAAGAAAAAATCGAGAAATGAACTATGGCCAAAGTAACATGGTGAAACTATACTGTGCAAATTCTGAGATCTTGGAATTTTATAACTCTTGGTAGTTAACTTTTAAGTGATATAAATAATGATGCTTAGGGAACTTAAAACAAAATTTTGATTGATTTTGGTTGTATTGATGTTGAAAGGGAGTTATGGACTTGTAGGAAGCTTATTAAAATATTATTATATTTTATATATAGGTTGTTTGGAGAAAGAGAAAATTGATTGAGGTTGTAAGAAGAGATATTGAACCTTGAAAAATAGTGGGTAAATGCATAGTATCCCAACTAAATTATCAATAAAATTCTTTTTCCAAAATAATTTTTTTACATGGATCATTTAATAACAATTATATTGTGTATTTAATACTTTATTAATTAAATTGTTTTTGTCTTGAAAAATTATAATGAGATGTTGAATGATATTTGAATTATGGCATGTGCATGTGATTTTTTTTATATAAAGGATACTTTCAAAATTGATGAGATTATTTTTATCAACTTTGGTTATTTTTGGGTTACTTAGTATATGCCAGACATGGATGTTAGATATGAAATTTTATTTTGGTAAGTTTTTAATTCTCAAAACTATTTATGTAAGTTTGACTTTAAAAGTGATGATTTTCTTTTATGTTTGAAAATGAATTTAGAATGGGACTTTAGACAGAACATTGATGGCTAACAGCAGCTCCATTAGCCCTTAGCATGCCATGGTTAATGACTAGCTAGTTTGAATTTCATGAGCTCTATTATCATATTTGTTGTACGTGGATCTAATACTTGCGTTTGATTTCATGGCTCTGAGCCACATTTAGTTAGCATTACCCTTGTCAGATTCATTAGTTGACGCTGGCCCTACTGCTGACCTCTAAAAGGCATAAAATTGTTTTGGGTGGTATTTCACTTAGCATTATCTCCTCTTGACTTAAATATTTGAACTGATGCATTTTATTTTGAAAGTAAGGTTAGTTGCTCCAACATAGCTTATAGCTAGGTTTTTATTTTGATATATGTTGTTTACTAGCTGGAAGGAGCTGAGCTCCTTATTGATATTATATTTTGTGTAAAATATTGACAGATTAGAAATTTTGGAAAATCTTATTTATAGGTGAGGTTTTACTGAAATTTTTACAAAAATATTGAAACTTTTATTATAATAATTTTTATTATGTATGTTATAATTTTCAGTGCAAATTCAACTATGTTTTAAAATGAAATGATTTCTCAATTTAGGGTTTAAGGGAAATGTGAAATGGTTCATATCTTGTACTGGTCATTCTCTGTTTTCGGGGTGTGACACCTTTATTTTCTTCACCTTTCTATTCCTTCTTTTGCTCTATTTCTACATCTTGCTGTAATTTACAAGTCTTACTCTAATACTTGTTTGTTTGCCAATACACGTGAAATTGCATTTTTAGGAAAAGGCATAAATAGTTATCTCCTTAAAATTACTGTCTTTTGTATGTGTAATAATGACAAAAAGGTCAAAAACAATAGAAGAGGATGGTTTTGTGATGAGAACAATAAAAAAAAGATTATATATTAATATATAGTACTTTGCTAGCTTCACAAAAAATTCAAATTGTTAATGGCTTATGAATAAAAATATATAGCATGACTTCTAATTATATATATATATATATATATATAGGGTTAATAAGTAAAATAGATCCTCAACTCTTGCTGGAAAAGTGTCCTAAACCTATAATTCTGAACTCTTAAAATATGCAAAATAAACCCTAAACTTTTAAATTTATAGCAAATTAAACCGTCCTGTTCATTGTGGACCCTAATTAATTAGCACCATGAACCCTAAACTATTCTCATATTGTTTATGTATAGAACATTAATTATTATGTAAACCAATTTAGCCTCAGCGTGGTTCGTTGCGGTGAATACATTGTTGGTTATGGTGAATGACCCATAATTTTGTGGAATGATATTTTTGTCCTCTTTTTTTGTGATGTTTTCCAAATAATTGGTATTTCATGCTTCCATAAAATGCTATGATACTTAAATTTCTTTTCAAATGGGATCCCAAGTTTTTGCCATTAAATAAATGAATATTATTCATAATAAGACTAAATCAGAGTTGTAGAGTATACAGAAGCATATGATACCAATCATTTGAAAACATTGCAAAAAAAAAAAGACAAAAAATATTATTTTACAAAATTATGGGTCGTTTACCATAGCCAACGATGCATTTACCGTGATGAACTATGCTAAGGCTAATTTAGTCTATATAATAGTTAACTTTCTATATATAAACGATAGAGGTAATTTGCTCCAAATTTCAAAGTTCAAGGTCTAGGATGCTACTCGTGTAATAGTTAAGGATCTGTGGTGCTAATTAACTAAGACCTATGGTGAACAGTAATGACATCAAAGAAGATAATGGTAGGATTTAATTTATTATAAATCTAAAAGTTTAGATTTTATTTTGCTTATTTTAAGAGTTCAAAGTTTAAAGCGCTTTTTGAGCAAGAGTTTAGGTTCTATTTTGCTCATTAACCCTATATGTATAACATTACTCCATTATTTAGTTTTAATATTTACAAGGTTCATTTTCATGATATTAATAGAAGGTCATTTGTAAAATTTAATAAAAAAGTCATGATCATTTTTAAAAATTACCTATGTTTATTTATTTATTTATTTCTGTTTGTTTGAATAATACTCACCCATGCTATTTTAGAAATGTAATAATTAATTAACTCTATTAAAGATGATTAAAAAAAGTAATTAATTTTAAAGGGTAGCGTCCACCGCAAAATTTGGCTGTGTCTGTCGTTAGTCTCCTCCCTATTTTATAGAATTTTTAATCAAGGAATGGAATCCCCTTTCCTTCACTTGCTTATGATGGAATAAAACTTGTCAAGTTGTATTAGACAAAATGGACTAAGCTAATTTATCGATTACGCAAGACACGCCTAGATGATTTAATTAGGGGAAAAAAAGGATTAAGAGTTGAGTCTATCAAAAGAGAATAATTCCTCACAATATAATGAAACAGTATTTATATTCCCAATAGATAGCTACTTCCTCCTGTCTCTATTAGAGGGCATCTTCTAGAAATATCTTTTAGTCTTTAATATAAGGTACATTATGGGATATCAATTACATTTTTCAATATTTCCTCTATTTAAACTCATTAACGAGAAAGAATATAATGTAAATTTAAAATTTTTTCATTTAAATATGGGTCAAATTATAAGTTTATTTTATTTTTAAATAAAGTTAATAGCCTAACTAATTTTCATTAGTTCTGTTGAGATTGTTGAAAGTGTCTTTGTAATATGGATTGGAGGGGAGTATATGCAATAAAAAAAAGGAGGATGTAGTTGAATTGTAGTTATTTTTCTTAATCCCATCGTTAATCAATTTGTGCATATGAATTTATGATTTTATAAATTTTAGTTTTTCTTTTAAAAGTAAATATGAATTTAAATCTGATTTATTACAAATAACATTTTATCTAGTAAAACTACAATTCATTTTACTGCGTTATGGCTCAAGCTAATACAAATGAAATCAAAACCGTTATTATATTGAACATCCTTATGTGCAATTTACTTGAAGCTAAGGAAAAGAATGGACCGTTGACTTCTTTGTTTGCGTAAAAGGATGTTTTAATTTTATGTTATCATGGGTTTTGTATAAATAAATGTATATGGCACCACTAGTAATTATTATATTAAAAAAATGCTGAAAATGTACTCCAAAACAAAATTGAAATTTTGCCTTAATTTTGTCAAAGGCCAAAATTAAATCAATTTATTTATTTTAAATATAAAGAATGGGCTTTGCTGACAGCGAATATCTCCCCCAGAAACACTAAGAATAACGAGCAGATCTTTCTCAATTGAATTGTTATATACATAATAGTTTCGAACCTTTAGGTGATGAGAATCTTTATCGTGAACTTTATATTGCAGCTCAATTATTCTCATAGGTTTCCACTTTCGGGGTCGTTCTCACTCATAAAATGCCCCAATTTCTCTAAGCTTTTCGTCGTTTTCTTAAGACCCCCTTCCTCCCACATCTGATTCTATCCGGCTTCTAGCCTTTTAATAACTAAAATGTCCTCTTCTCCATTTTTACAGAGAATTCAGGCACATTTTTAATATTATATTATTTATATCCAATTTTTATAAATAATTCTACTTACTATAAATTTTTCATATTAATAGGATAATTGAGTAAGGTGAAATCTTTCTCTTTTTTATGAAGTGTAAGTTCTTCTGAGACATTTTTTTTTAAATTCCAGAGACTTTATAGGATTTCATCAGGAGATTGAATATAATCTGCTCCCGTCATTGAATGAAAAAATAAATCCTCTAATTTTTTTTTTAATTTTCATTCAGCAATGCTTTTGTAGCAAAAGCGATTATACAAAATATATTTAAAAAAAATAAAAAGTTAAATTGACTCCCATACTCTTTGTTCTATCTATAAAAATTTATAATGATATGATGGTATATAATACAAAAGACTGATATATCAAAAGTCTATGTGAAGGTAGAAAATCACATTTGGAAAAGTTATCTTATTTGGGTATGACAATGCTTGAATTTGTCCAAATCAAAGAACTATAAAAAAAAGGATTATATATATATATATATATATATATATTAAAAGTTTTAATAAGTTGAATTATTTATCAAATAAGACTTTTGACTTCAAATTTTGGAGGCAGATTTTAGGGGAAGCACTTGATGAACTTTCTTGCACGCTACTCCACTAGAGCGTGGTATCTTCAATGGAAAATGAGGGTTGGACAAAGCATTGCATCTTTTTTAATAGAAATTGATAAACATAAAAGACTAAAACACAAGAGTATTAAACAAACAAAGCCAGAAGAAAATAAACATTTTTCATCAACCACTACCTTTAAAATGAAAGGTACGTGATTTTTATAAAAGATGTATAAAACTCAAATTAGCTCACGACTTAATTTCCTAGGTAGCTACAAACTATTTGCAATGCTATCGGATTCTCTATACATAAAAAGTTAATAGAGACATCCCGATTTCTATTGATCATAGTAATGGTTTCTTGTATTAAATCTTGAAAGGATGACTTGTGATTGAATTGATAGCCTCGGCACAATCACCAAAAGCTCCAAACCTTTCAGGATTCCAAACTGTTCTGCTATTTTTTTTCATTATGTTGTAATTTAATTTACATGCTGCTCGACACTCCAATATTTGTAAGTCAAAAAGTTACAAAATAAATATCGATCACATAGGACTATTCGATTTGTTACATTTAGAAAATTTAAAATAATTACCTTTATAATTTTCAAAATTGTTTTAACAGTACTTGTTTCCACTTGTTTAAATACTACATTTAAAAAACATAAGATATAAGTGGTAAATTCAACGGTTTGATTCACAGATTTTGTTGAGAGATGACAAAACCAAACTCCTAAAGACGACAATTATTTAGGGAGGACGGCAGTGTGTATTATAGTAGTGTATGCATTACAACTTTTTCTGTTTGTTATCGTCCTAGGCCTTTATTATCATTAGGTAATATAACAGTTAAGTCATAAGAAAAGAGAATTAATGATAATTAAGTCCTGATAAAATTTTAAAAAATCAGCTGCAAATATTGACTAAATTAATTGTAAATTCAAAGAGTATCAATTAGAAATAAAATATTTAAATTTTAAATGTAGATATCAATTTACAATTGAAATTTTTGTTTTTGCACTCTGCTACAATGTCTAAATAAATATTTGTAACTATTTTTTTAAGAAATTTTTGTCAAGTAGTTAACTGTCATCAATTCTTTTTTTCAAGACTTTAGTGTCATTCTCCCTCATAATCAATATTGTGCCTGCCCTTTGTCTTAAGCCATATATCTGTTTGTATATATATATATATATATATATATATATAAACACATATAAAACATGTCATCTTCTCAAAACATCTAATCCAAGACGGAAAGAGAGAAGCCATAATGGATCTCCTCTCTATCCTAACACTAACAGCAATCGTAACCCTACTTTTGTCCCTACTTGTATGGATCAGAGCTCAGAAAAACTCACCAAATCACACAGCCAAAGGCATGGTAGCACCAGAACCTTCCGGAGCCTTACCCTTAATAGGCCATCTTCATCTTCTTGGAGCTCAAGCTCCTCTCGCCCACACCTTAGGTTCTTTTGCAGACAAGTACGGCCCCATCTTCACCCTCCGTCTCGGAGCCTTCCCTGCTCTCGTCGTTAGCAGCCAAGACGCCATTAAAGACTGCTTCACCACCAACGACAAAACCCTAGCCGCTCGCCCAAGGTCCAGCCATGGCGTCTACCTCAATTACAACTATGCCTCATTCGGGTCTGCGCCAGACGGCCCGTATTGGCGCAAATTGAAGAAGCTCATCATGCTCGAGCTCCTGTCAACTCGAAGACTCGAATCGTTGAGGCATATATATGAAAGTGAGATTTATGATTTCATCAGTGACTTGTACTCGTATCTCGGAGATGGTAATAAGGGTAAGGTTGTGATTAGCGAGTGGTTGGAGAGATTGACTCTGAACATAATCACGAGGATGATTGCAGGGAAGAGGTATTTTGGGAATTTGAAGGATGTGGATGATGAAGAGGCACGTAGGGTTGTGAAGCTTATAAAGGATTTTATGCATATTTCTGGGGACTTTGTTCCTTCAGATTTGATTCCGTTTCTGGGATGGTTTGGTGGTGAAGGGAAAGTTTTTAGATCGATGAAGAAGATTGCAAATGATTTGGATTGTCTTGCGTCGAGTTGGATTGAAGAGCATCGTGTGAAGAAGAAAGAGTTCAGTGAGAAGCAGGATTTCATTGACTTGATGCTTTCTGTGATTGAAGACGACGAGTACTCTACCTTTGGCCATGCACGTGACACCATCATCAAAGCAAATGTTCTTGTATGTTCTTTAATTTCTTGTTTGACATTCTTTCTTAATACCAAAACAATTAAGCAAATTAATTTTCTTTTGGCCAAAAATATAAAACAAACGAATTTTAATTTCTTGTTTGACTTTTAATAATTTATATTATTTGTTTTTTAAAATTTAAACTTATCCAAGTGACTCTCATGTAGCATTTTGGTCTAATAATTTATTTTATAAAAACTTTCAAAAAATTTTGTGTGAACAATTCTTCTCAAATTTTGGATTATTTGCAGTGTACTTTGTCACGTTTCATTTGTAAATTAACAAATTATCCTCACCAAAAAAATAAATTAACAAATTATTACAACAATCTACTGAAAGTTTTGAAGGTCAACATATTATATCCTCTCCTTCTAATGAAAAATATTTTTTATGAAATTTATAAATTATTAGATATTCGATGTTTTATTTTTCAAAATTTTAGAATTACAAAATAACAAATGCTGCAACATTTTTACTTTATTACAGAAAATAGCCAAAATTTAATAATTCCCCCCTCTTAGATCCAAATCTTGCACTTCTAGCTATAATAGTGAGAAATATTATATATAGAGATAAATTTTAAATTATTTTTTGAATTAATTTATTTAATAAATAAAATAATAAAAAATTATTAAAAAATATAAAAAATGAAAGTCAACGGTTTTATGCATAAGAAATAAATATGAAATAGTTCTTAAATGTTGCAAAAATTTAAATACAAACATTTATTTTTTGTTTCCCATTAAAATAGGGAACACTTTTTTAATGTTGTAACAGAAGTAATTTCATGGACAACAATTTTGTGTTTCCTATTTTAAAATTTTAATGCTTTAAAGATCAATAGTGCTTCCCTTATTTTACAGGCATTTAGCCTGTTGTTGTATTGTTGTCTTATTTGCATTGTTGAGGGGGTGATTTCTAGTTAGTTAATCAGTTTCTGGAAGACTTGCCGCGAGGTACAAATACAATTATACAAGGGACAATAATTGAGAAAAATGGTCCAAAAGGAATTAGATAATCTTAATTCTCCCAAAACTACATTATCAAGAGCTGCTCAATGCTCCCAAAACTTCGCTTTATGGTTCGCTTCTAGATAATCTCCAAGTTAACACAGATAAATATATATATATATATATATATATATATAGACTCTCTCCATGTTTAACGGGTTGACTAGTCTACGGGCTCCCCCCAAACCGTGGACATATATAATTATTTTATTTAATCGTTCACACAATTTAATTATTAGATTAAAACAGTTCATCTGTTCATGAGAATGTATTATAGAACTTAAGGAGGTTTGAATTGATGTCAAGCACTACTGAAAATCAGAAAGGGTTTCAGTGAACATTAGATTTAGGGCTTGGTTGGTGTTGTTCCTATTTTTTATTTTTTAAGATTATTCTATTAACTAATTTTTAAAAAATTATTTTTCGAAACAAAACAATAAAAAATCTGTTTCATTATGTTAATTGGAAAATAATTTTAGCGTTAAGAAATTGGCCAATAGTAATACATACTAATGGCCTATGATATATAGTGGTAGGCCATAGTTAAATATAGTTTACAATAATTAAATGCAGTGTTCTTTAAAAAAATGAAAATAAGTTTACCAAAAAAAATGAAAATAATTCTAAGATGTTTTTATTTTTTAAAAAAATAAGAACAGTTTTTAAAGCAGTTAAATCCAAAATATTTACTCAAGTAAGTTTTTTTTATTTTAAAAAAAAAAACAAACATATCTTGAAAATCAGACTAACACACTTGATTTTACATGTATGTAGAATTTGATCTTAGCTGGAGCAGACACAACCTCCATCACCTTGACATGGATCCTATCATTATTGGTGAACAATAAGCACGTCCTGAAGCTTGCCCAGGAGGAGATTGATCGTCACGTAGGCAAGAAAAGATGGGTCCAAATCTCAGATATCAAAAACCTAATTTACCTTCAAGCCATTCTCAAAGAAACCCTAAGATTATACCCTCCAGCTCCTCTCTTAGTCCCTCATGAAGCAACCCAAAACTGTTATATTTGCGGCTATTACGTCCCAAAAGGCACCAGAGTGTTTGCCAACATATGGAAACTCCATAGAGACCCGACCATTTGGTCGCAGCCTGAAAGATTCATGCCTGAGAGGTTCATTACAGAGAAAGGAGATATTGATCATGAAGGTCACCATTTTCAGTACCTTCCTTTTGGGCTTGGGAGAAGGGCTTGTCCTGGTTCGAGTTTAGCAATGCAAGTGAGTGTGTTGACTCTTGCTCGTTTGCTTCAAGGGTTTGAGTTGGAGAGCGTAGGTCATGAACCAGTGGACATGAAAGAAGGTGCCAGCTTTACTTTGCCGAAGGCAATTCCATTGGAGGTTGTGCTAACTCCACGTCTTTCGTCTCATCAATATCAGATGTTATTGTCCAATAATTCTTAACCTTATTTTGCATTCAACTCTTCGAAAATAAGCAAAGTACGTTGTACCAGTAATTAATTATTACCTTTATTCTAAGATGGTCGATTTATAAATTATAAGATTTAAAAAAAAAACTTTAGGAGGAATGAAAGAGAGAGAGAGATAAGAAGAGAGTAATCAATCATTTATGTATGTGCGACTGAATCTTACTATATATATATATATATATATATTTGGGTGTAGGAATATAATCTAATTATCTAAAGTCAACTCAATTTACAAATAATGCAACTCATTTATCACAACAAGTAGACAAGCAATGGTTATATTATTTTAGGGATTAGATAACGTGTAGACATTATAGTAGATATATGATGTGTAGACATTATAGTATATATACTTTTGGAATAATTTTCAAGTGTGAAAAAATTAGTCAATTTTAACTAACTTGAACTAAAGATTTAAGTATAGGGTATTATACAACAAAATTAGTCCCAAAATTATAACTTCAAAAGTGTTTGAAAACCTAAACTTATTTTTTATGTAACATTTTTTCAACTTTTAAAAAAAGTATAATCTTGCCCTTCTTATTAATAAAATTTCCTTTGATAATTAATTAATCAAAAAATGATAGAAGAGACCCAAAAAATTTAAAAAAGGACAAAAACTACAAACAAGAACTCAAAAAAATGTACAAAAGGACCAAGAAAATTTTAGTTGTTATATTTTGTTATTTATGGTCAACTAACATTTAAAATTAATTTTTGTTAACAAGAGGGATTAGATAGTATCATTTTTAAAAGTTGAAGAGAAATATTGCATTAAAAATGAGTTTAAGGTCCCATACTTTCCTGAGCCTATAGTTTAATAGATAATTTATTCTTTTATTATTTTTTTATTAAGAAAAATTTCGTTTATGACATTTTTCAAGTGTGATATAAAAAAATAGCTAGTTTAAGTATTATAACAACTTATGGAGTTGTCAATTGATTGATAATCACACATTGATGAACACATATCATTTCAATGAATGAGAGAACATCATACAATAACTTGCAGATGATTTCTCGCAATAAATGTTTGTAGAATCTGATCATAGCTGGATCAAAGTCAACCTCCATCAGCTTGACATGGATCCTAGCCACTGTTGAACAACAAGCAATGTCCTAAAGCGTGCCCAGGTGGAGATTGATCTTCACGTTGGCAAACAAAGATGGGTCCAAACTTCAGATATCAGAAACCAAATTTAACTTCAAGCCATTCTCAAAGAAACTCTAAGATTATACCCACCAGCTCCTCTCCTAGTCTCCCATATATGAAGCAACACAACACTGGTATATATGTGGTTATTATGTCCCAAATGGCACTACAGTTTTTGCCAACGTGTGAAAACTCCATAAAGACCCAACCATATTTGGTCGCAGCCTGAAAGATTCATGTCTGAGAGGTTCATGACGGAGAATGTAGATATTGACAACGAAGGTCACCATTTTTAGTAACCCCCTTTTGGGCACATGGGAGAGTGTACGTGTTGAGTCTTGCTCGTTTGCTTCAACAGTTTGAGTTGGAGGTAGAAGATGATGATGATGAACCAGCAGGCATGAGAGAAGGCACAAGCATTACTTTACCCATGGCAACTCCATTGGAAGTTGTTCTTAATATACGTCTTCCTCCTTGTCACATCCCAAAAATTAAACGTGATCTGCCCCGGGGTATATGCACAAACATATATCCCTTAAACCTTTATCAAGAAAACTTTAATATAATATTTTAATTTATTTGAAATAGGACTGAAATTTATTGCAACATTTTTATATAAATAAAATATTTTTAGACTTTTTGTGAAAATTTCGGCAGAACCTCCCCTCTCAATAAGGCCTCCCAAAAACAAATATACAACCATTTTACAAAACAATAGCAACAGCAAGGAACAGAACTCTATTTTTATCAACAAATAACCAAAATATAAATAATATGATGAGAACCCTAATTATAGCTTATGTTTAGCACCTAATATACGAATTAACAAAATATAATGCATGGGTATAAGTTTACATTAAAAGAAGCTTGATGTACAATTCCTCACTTCAAATGAATACTGAAGCCCATCAATGGTCAGCGGAAGGTACAATATCAGCTAACATTATCTGAGATCAAAATAATAATTTTTAGTGAATAACATCTCAATAATAACTAATTGAACATGAATAAAAGGAAAGTTTAAAAAAATTATGTAAGTTAAAGAGACAATAATCTTCATAAAAATTTAATGAACTTTGGAATAAAAGAATTTTATATAACTTTAAATGAAATCTTAAACCATTAAATTATCATATCAAAAATTATTATCACTTGATTTTAAATATGCAAATAAATGAAATAAATAATTATAAATAGATTACTAATTAAAACTAATGGGATATAAAATTATCAAATAATCAAATTCATACTTATAGGGACTTATTAGAACAATTAACAAATATGAACACACAATCCATAAAGGTGAGTAACCAAACATGGCCATAGTCATAAAAGAAATGTAAACACACAGTCCATGATGGTAATGCTAATCAAATGTGGTTTGAAGCCATGAAAACAAATACATGTATTAAACTCACGAATAATAAATGAAGATTTTAAATCTTTATTTCAAATCTCATGTACATCTAAAATTCATGTATTTAAAATATGTTGTTTGGGTAGTTTAAAATTTTTCATAAAAAGAAGATAAATGAGTTGACATTTGAAATGAAAATGAAAAATTGGGAATGAAAAGTTTATCTTTATTTTTTAATCGAAAAAACAAAAATTAGAGATAAGAATCGAAAATCATAGAGGTATTAATAGTAAAAATACAAAGAAAACATGATATTTGAAGTAACAAGAATTTTTAACGACTAGCATATGGAAAAAAATTGAAATTACAAAAAAATTAGGATGAGTAATAAATCCAAATATAAAATTTTTTGCATGTCCAAATGAGATATTTAGACTAAATCCAAACCTACGCTAATCCCAATGGCACCATAAATGAAAAAAATTAAATAAAATAATTTTTAAAATGTGAAATCGTTCTGTTTGGTAAACATAATATTTTTCTCTTCTTTGCATCCAAATCTTGTGGAAAATATTTTAAAGTATAAAATCCTTCTGCTTGCGGAAATATTTCTCTTCTTTACATTTAATTATTTAAACCCTTCTGTTCCGTCAGGCCATCAAGCAAGGACTTGCACCACGTGGCTAATCTTCTCAAGAAGATTTGCTGATTCTTCTTTATTATTATAATATTTTCTTGAATCTCATACCGAAGGATTTGTAACATTTAAAAAATAAAAAAATAATACGTGTATATGCTGATAATATATTCACGGAAAAAATAATTAATTCACACAGTGTAAAAAAATTAATTAAATATAATGATTATATTTTAAATTAAAAAATTTGAACTAAATTATGATTATAATTAATGAAACAAATTTATCTAGTGAAAATAAACATTGATTTTATGATAGATAATTTTAAAAAATTAATAAATGCTTCTTAAAATGTGTAGTTTTGCCTATAAATAAAAATAAAAAAAAATGCATGATAGTTTCTCTGATATTTAAAAATAGAATAATTCTTAATCAAGAAAGTATCTTACCAGTGGTTTTCCCTCCCTTGCCTGTTATGAAGGGGAAAAAAATTGACAATTTTTATATCAATAATAATTATGGCATAAGAAATTTTAATTTACATGATAAATTAATTATAACAAGTCTATAAAACTTGTATGTATTTTCAAAAATTCATGAAATTTATTTATAAATAACCTTTTTGTATGAGACTTATTTATAATTTTCACTAAAAATAAACATAAGTTAATCAAATTTAACTCCTGGGACTCATTTTCAATGTGAAATGAATTATCAAAAGCACTGAAACATGATGGTTACTTGTAGACGTCATTTATGGTTACTGTGGCTTCCCTTGGGCTCAAGCCAAAGCTTTACATATACACACACAATTCCTTCATCTTTATATATAAAATATTTTTAATTAAATCCTGTAAATTAATAAAAATATATTATTTAGTTAAAATTATATAAAATTACAGTAACTTTTCAGTTTTATCCATAATAATTTTACAATTAATATCATAGTGATATTGGGTAAAACTAAAAAATTAATATATCTTCCATGTTTCAAGACAAGAGGAAAATTATTTAATTATTCAAAAGTATTATAACACCCTTTAATTACTCAAAGAATTAAATAAAATAATTTTAAAATGTAAAATCCTTCTGTTGGGAATAAAATATTTTCCCCTTTATATCCGGCCAAAACATAAGGAAAATATTTTAAAATATTAATGTCAACGCTGCTTCCTCTTTACTGTTATTAGAATCTTTTCTAAATTTCTATGCGCAAGGATTTGCTACATTTTAAAAATAAGACGTGTTCGTATGCTTAGAATTTTTAATTAATCAAGGAAGTCTTCCCAGTCCTTTTTTCCTCACTTGCTTGTTACGGGAGAAAGAAAAACTTAACAACTTCAATTACGTTCCCCCCCCCCCCCACGCGCGCACGCGCATGTACTCCTTCTATCTCAAATTATAAGATATTTTTAAAGAAATTTTTTTATTTTAAAATATAAAATACTTTGAGTATATTAATGTTTCATTAAATGCATTAATTTTAATATTACCCTTTCTCTCTCTATAATTAATTTTCATTTCTTCTCTTTTTAATATATTAAATTATGGGTATTTTTGGACATTTATATTTTTGTTTTGAAAAAATAAGATTGTTAAGTGTATTTAATGAGATTTATTGATATGTGATATTTTATCTAAAAATGTCTTATAATTTAAAACGGAGAGAGTACTATATATATATATATGTGTGTGTGTGTAAGTTTGTGTGTGTGTTTTGTGTTTTTTTTTTTAATTTTAGAGTTTAACAACTCAAATTATAAATGGTGCAACTCATTAGTCAACAAGACAAGTAGACAACAATTGATAGTTATATTATTTATATTAAAAAATAATACTTATATTATTTCATTTCAAAATAATTGTCATTTTAGATATGTGCACATATCATATTAAAGTTAA